ATGAGCGGCACGCAATGCCTAGAGCTTGCTTGCCAGAACGTCTACTGCATGCACATCAGTTGCCCGGGGTGCAGCAGACCGACAGCATGCACCACGCCAGGCTTGTGGTGGCTGTGGTTGGAGTGCCTACTCTTTGTAGGCCCAGGGCGCATCATCATCAGTCTCTCTCGGTGCCTTGATGACGATGGCATAGGAAGAGCGTGGCCACTCTCCCGCGAGGCTAGTAAGGATGGTTGACGTGTGTGCGCGCGTGCGCGCGAAAATACCACAAGGAATTGTCGCCTTGTTTCCCCCCCCCCCCTTAGACACGCTTCATCCCATCTCATATTTTGCTTGAGGGGATTCGTGATGGCACTTCATCATCATCAGCATCACCACCATCACCACCGCCGACGCCGACGCCAACCATCCAAACCAGTCGTTCGGGGTGGACTGCGCTGCGCTGGCGGCGAGGCGATGTCCGCGAGATTGGAGATGGGCAAGTTGACCCAGTGGACTGAAATCGCGCGGTGACGGGTGGACGGACCAACTCAGCCCATGCCGAACGAAGGTCAAGCTTAAGCCTAATCCCGAACGACTGAAATAACGGCTTTGTTTCCTACATGCCAATGGAACGTGTCAACCCCTGCTGCTGGCAGTACCGCCCGCAACAGCGTGCCGTAGGGAGCCGACTCTCACAAGCTCCCGCCCCCTTTCTTCCTTTTCACACAACGCCAGGACTGGTTTGGCATGTCACATTGCCTTGGTCTTTCCCAGTCTCGGCTTCCCACCTGCCTGTATGGAGCCAGAAAGGAAGTAGGTGCTCGGATCAGACGTCGCAGCTGCCAACCTGGCGAGGGGCGTGCCACCCACGAACCCGAACCCCACTCGAAATGGAAGTTGCCAAGAGGTACCTTGCCATGTAGTGTCGTTGTTCTTTCCTCGTGGTCCCTCAGGCACTGTGCACGATCAGATTCCCCAAGAGAACCTCACCCCACTCAACTTCAATGGTCAGTGCCATCGCTGGACTTAGAAGTCGTGGGTACACTGGTCCTTTCCTCCCCCTGCCCGACCCAACACAGTGTCTTGGCCTCTGAGAAGCATGGGCGTGGCGGCTGACACGGATGAGCATCTCCTTCCAAGACATCACGCGTCACCCACCAACAATAACGGATGCAGCTCAGTTGCTGATCTCTCAGTGCGTACTCACTCATCGCTCAACCCTTCTACAAAATACCTTACAGAAGACTGCCTCAGTGAATGGGCTTAGGGTATACCGGGAACAGGACAAAGGTTCTGCCAGGAGAGCCATTTCGTTTTCTGGCCTACAAGAACTTGATTATAGTGCCACATCTACCAACCTGTCCTCCTGGCTTCTCTACAGTACATCTCGTTCATCGGATTCCCTCGGAAGCCTGGTCACACATGAATCCTCAGGAAGGTCTCTTCTCTCGTGACGTTGCTCTATACCATTTTACTTTCCGCGGGATGCCACATTTACGTCTCTTTGTTATCGCTAACGTGGCTAAATCATCATCCAAAACGAACGAGGTCAATGCTCCAGCCATCATCCGCTCAAGACCCCTTTTTCTCTGCCAGGGCTACTAGGCGAAAAAGGTGCCAGGCTCTTTAGAGCGTCACGTTTCTGGCCAGACAGACGGGGACGTCTTCGCCTTGTCTGGAGAGACCACCTCGTGTCGGAGAGATAGGACATTGAGCCGCCGTCAATGTTCGCGAAGGACGGTAATGAATACCCCGCACAGTACCCTACCGAGTCTCCAGCGGGCCCTGGTCCTGGTCTTGGCCTAGCAATCATTGGACCCTCTGCGCACAATTGGGAGGTCTGCCTCGGAAATCTACGGGCCATTCGTTCAACATTAGTGTTGCCCCCAGGTGATGAGATCCTCCATTGATCAATTTCAATTTCACCTCGGTCCACATTCACCCAGCAGACACCTCCATCCGACCCGCCGCCATTTGACGGTCATGCTTCTTCAGGCCGAGAACCAAGCGCTCGATGCTATCATCATGGGGCACCCACCGCACCGTCAATATTGTCGACTTGTCAAGACTCGGGCTTCGCAGATTGGCGAATCCATTTGTCACTTACCCTGATACTTACCCTGAAAGCTTCAACAACGAAAGGCTGGCTGCATGCCAATCTTCCAGGAATGACTCCTCTGATGGACATCTTCAAACTCAGATGGAACTCATTGGAGCTTTGACGGGATTCTTTGCGCTGCTTCGGCTCGGAGACGCACGTCAACGAGCCACATATGCAAACCGAACCCCCGACATCTGCTTACTTGCCTGCCAATAAGCTCGCCAACGTTGACTGCGTTGATCCCGAGAAAACCGCTGATGTGAATAGACAGCCAGCCTTGTGCGTTAGCTCCAGTCTATCCTACCCTGCTCGCATCTCAGAGGCCGCATATTCTCACATAGAGTCGGGGTTTATACTCTGATACCGAATTGACACGCACGCCTACTTGTCAGCATGTATCGACCGCCTGGAGCAGGACGCTGCTGGTCAAAAAACAAACCCCAGAGACAGTCGTTCGCTGAGCCGGAACGAGATGTCTAACAGCCGACATTGTACAGTGCTTTGGTCGTGCGCACACGATCCGCTGGCCGTATTTCTCCATCTGGCGCCGTACGCCGCCAGGGTTTCGTAAACCAGACTCTAAGTTCGGCCCTTATTGTCACTTTTTTCTAAGAATCAAGTCTCTTTCCTTCACTTATTCTATCTTTCTGATGGATATTCACATGTGCATCTGAGAGGCACGGGCATACAACCCAGGTCGCTAGCAGGACCACTAGGCAGCGTCTTCTGACTGTTCCTGTCTGTTCTAGTGAATGGCCTCTGGGATCATGGGACGGGCACCCAGACAGTCGCTCAAGCAGGAGGAAGCTTCACGACGAAGTCGGGCCTTGGTCTAGAGCGCCACTTCTGCATGCCACCGGAAACAACAGAGCTAGGCTCCTGGAATTGGGCAGCCACCTCTTCACAGTACGCAAGCTTTGTGGAAATGGGGTCCCATCGCCGAGTCCTTCCACCTTCCAGCCGGCCAACCATCCATTATCACCTTAGCCGCCGAGGAAAACCCGCGTCGATGCACAACCCCGCAGCCACACATTCGGGTTGGCCATTGCGATCTGCAGTCATGGAGTATTTCGTCACATGTGTCGAAGTCATTCTGAAGAACCCTTCACTGTGAGGGAATCATGAACTACGCCCAGTGTAAGATATGGGCGATCGCAGTACAATAAACTCGGCCATGGGCGATCGCCAGTACAATAAACTCGGCCACTGATATTATGAATGAAACCCACACAAGCGGTGTCCGAGGCTCGAGCCTGTGCGGTTTCAGCCCCAGAGAAATTGCGTGGACCATGCGCTTTCTTTGCCTCGTGGTTGCGGCAGCGCCCGCCTCTGCCGTGATCTCTAGTTCATGCCCGAGTCATCCCCCATGAGGTATGCCCTTACCTTGCCATACATATGGCACCCTTTCATTGGACAGAGACCTTGCCGGGGCCATGTCTTGCGCACGTTACCACGACAAGCGTCGATGGCCACCATGCCAACGAGTCGGCACCACCGAGATGGGTCAATCATCATCACGCAGCGGGCGAGAGTCCTTACGGGCTACGATGGGTGAAATGTCAGTTCCTGAGAAAGTCGACATCACAAGCTTCACTGTCTGTTGACTACGCTTTTGCTTGTCTCGCCATGTGAATAGCCGTTTCTGTTGACCTCCTGCTTGACTTGAGACCAGGGTGTTGGTGTTTCTTGGACCTCTCCAAGCACGAAAAATAACTCGACGGATAACCATGGCAGGTCATCGGACAAATGCCGGAGTGGCTGACGAAATCATTCTCCTGCCCGGCCTATCTATGTAAACCCTAGGCAAAGGGGGGATTCAGTTCGGAAACCCCATACAAACACGCCAATATACAAAAAGACCTCGCAGCACCCCGCTGTTGGTTGGACGTGACCTGACGCGCCGTGACGCGGGGTCGAGGTGGGGTTTTCGAAAACCATCCGACCTGCTCGGCATCAGGCGCCTGCCTGTAGGTACCCAATGGGCTGAGGCTACCACATCACTCTGCATTCCTCCATTGCGGGCTGGGACCATTGTCGGTTGGGAGGAGCCTAGTCTGTCTCCTCTGTTGCGCATCAGCCTGTCGCCACGGGGCCATCCAAGGTTTTCTACACTTTTGCTGACCATGAATTAAGACGAGCATGATTTAACTCCTTAGATGGGTAACATGGCGGAATAGTGTAGCGACTATTGAGTCGGCTAGCATACATGAAGCTTTCTTCCCGCTAGTGTAGATGCTCTGCCAAGATGAAAGTTCGAGAAAGCCTCGCAGACATGGGCTTGTTATGAACCGTCGCTCGTCTTGATGCTTGAGGTTTGTTCGTTTCTTCAAGCCGGTGCTTATTTCCGTCACACGGTTCAGCATTGTATGTATGCTGGAGAGCGTGTCACCCGCGCTCTCGGGCTCGGAGAGCCACTGCAAAGTGTGCAGGACAAGGCATTTGGAGAGAAAGCAAAATCGGCTGTGAGAGACGATACGTTGCTCTTTGACAGGAATGCGTTGGCGGGGCTCACTGAACATGGTCCTCGATACTGTACATATGAGGCCGATCCCTTGCCAGGTCCGAGCCTGCCCACGATCTGACGTTCTCGGACCGTGGCATGATGAAATATCGAGAGGTGCCAAGGTAGACTGGACTGCCCAGTAGATGGCCGCAAGCTGCAGAGACGTAGACGCACGGCACGTGAGAGAAATGGATATTGAGTAGATTATGTGTCAACGTAGCATTCTCAAGGTTGTCCAACATTGATGTGTTCTTTGACACGAACCTCAAATCCAGCAATACATCATCTCCAGCACGCCAACCTTCTTCCACTCGAACTCAAGGCGTTCATAGCCTCGAGGTCCGCAATGCCGACTCTTTTACACCGCTGAACCCTTCTGCCTTCTTCCATGGATAGCATGCACCTTTGCAGCATCTAACGCGCCTCGACGTCTCCTTGTTCAGCCCTCGCAGCATTCATGGCCTTGAGCTTGGCAGTTCCAAACCCAGCAACGCCACCTTCCTGGTTATCGCCCAGCCAGGGCTTCTTCGAGTCGCCGAGCATGCTACCAGCAAGGAAGTATGTGACCAGGCCGGCAATGATGAGGACGAAAGCAATGGGGTACAGGAAGTGAATGGCTAGGCCAAAGACGTGAATGCCAATGATGACGCCCCAAAAGTTGGCCGTCAACAACGAAATGTTGTAGAAGGCGGCCGACGCGAGTCGCAGAACGACGGGCACGATAGAATAGAAGAATGACAGGCAGAGCGTAAAGCCAACAATGTAGCTGGCGATTTGCCCGTTGAATTCAGCCTCTTGAATGGAACGGCGGTCGAAAATGGTGGCCTGCACGGCAAGGATGCAGCTTCCAAAGAGGGCCATGAAGGAGAGAACCTCATAGACGGGACGCTTAGAGACGAGGAATTCTTCAAATGTGTTGGTCAAGCCATAACACGTGGCACCGAGGAGCGCGAACAAATCGCCCTTAAGCTTGTTCGCGGCGTCACCGCTGCCACCCTTGATGTAGTCGGAGGCGATGAGGAGGCCCATGCCGCCACAGGCCACGAGGATGCCGACAATCTGGAACGGGCGGTAGCGAACCTTCAGGAAGAAAAAGGACAGCAGCACAACCACGACAATGGCCCAGAAGTTGATGAGCTGTGCGGACAGAATGTTGGTGTAGCCGTAGGCCAAGACGGTGAAGTAGTTGCCCTGGACATCGATGAAGCTGAGGATGAAGTACTTCCAGCCGTCGCGCCAAACGATGCGAAACCAGGCCTTGATACCCATGTGCCAGATGCAGATGGGCCACCAGATGAGCAGCAGGAGGATGTAGTTGAAGATGTTCTGGAAGGCGGGAATATTGGTGCCTGCAGCGCCCAGTAGCCCTGAGAAGGTGTTGGTGGCCGTGATGCAGAGCGCCAGGACCTGGCCGGCTACGAGAACGATCCAGAAGTCGGTGGTGGTCAGGTAGGACCACCAGTGCACCTTCTTGGCCTCGAGGACGTGCAATCCGCGGCTGACAAGCTCCGAATCGGTGTCTGGACGCAAGGCAGCGGCATCAGAAGACCCGGGGCCAGTGATCCGCGTCGTGGTCGGGCTCTCGACCAAGTTTTTGCTATCAACGCCGCTCATGTTGTCCGATGAAGGGGCCATGGCTGCGACGCAGGGTGATTCGTATAAGTTCCGAACGAGGTGTTTCGGAATGATACGAGTATAAGTGAAGCTTCACTGGGAAATACTTCAATGTATTTCAAATGTTGCTCTCAACAAGTACGTTAGTCTTTCTTCGTCCCCAAAGCAAGCGCAAAGACTGCGAAGTCGCCTGCTGTTTGTTTATCGTCCGAATGGACGGCACATGTATCTGTGTGCCTGAAAAGGGTAAATGGTGAAGGTCTTGATGATGCAAAACGACATAAGACCGATGTTGCCAATGGCACAAGAGGCGGGGTGAGGTTTACGAGTCGCGAGGCTCAGGTGAGCGAACCGAGACTGGAAAAGAGTTTTGCTGAAGCAGCGGTTGGCAAAGGTGGTGAAGTGAACCTGGACCGGGAAGTATCAGGAAGGTTAGATGAACGGTCACTAAATGGGCCCCAGTGATATTTGAAGTCAAGGGTCGCACTTGCCAATAACAGATGGGGTGCTGAAAAAAAATTGCACGTGGATGGTTGGCAATCGCAGATGGAGTCGCCACGAGAAGGCCCGGCCAAGCACTGCACCTAAAAGTTGCTAGTCGCCCATCCCGGCAGGCGCTGTCGGCGGTCACCGACAAGGGAACTAGGCGGCCAGGAGCTTCGGGTTTAGAAGCAACAGCCAGAAGGTGATCATTGCGTCCAAGCCACCCCCGGTAGATAACCACCACCACCACCAACTCAAAGCTCCTCCAGGGCCTGGCCCGCGAATAGCGGATCGTTCAGCTTGCTAGCGGCCATTTGCAGTGAGCGGATCCCCTGCAGGTATCACCACTGCGGTTGCCCTACAAATCCGATCCAGAAAAGCTGAAGCACTTGCTCGCGAGAGATGGCGGCAGGCGCGCAGCCCCTTCCACGCCATCGCCTCGCAACTGCCTTCGTAATTAAGGTACCTAGGTAGGCACATCAATCAGGGGTAGGCAGTGGCATACTGGCGCCATCAGTCGTTTGCAAAAACCATGGCCATGAAATCCTTGGCGCTGGGTGCGATGTGGCGATGGCCCTAAAAGCACATCAACTGAGCAAGCAACTGTATCATTGTCATCATCTGACCAACTCTACTTCTTCTCCGACCCGCTGGCGTCGTGGCACATTGTCGTGGTATCTTTGTCAACTCTCTTTCTCTCCCTCCCTCCAACTTGGGAATAACCTACACACCAGATTTAACCCGGGATGAACACCGAAACACCCAGGGAGGCCGTCCTGGCTCCCCCATGCTGTCACCTGAGCTTGGTACAAAAGAAAATAATGCAGCCACCAATACCTAGATGAACCCCACCTGGAACTCATCCGCAATCCCTGTTGGCGCTCTCAGACCAAAGTCTGGTCTGGTCCCCATCCCGACACCTCCCTCGAGAGGTGGTGTCTTCGCCCTCTCGACCTTGCGACGATCCTCCGCCCACTGTGGTGGAGGTGAGCGTTCCCGGAAGCTTGGGCTCACCAGTGGCGCGTGGGGCTTGCTGACATCCGCACCGCCGCCGTCGGCAAGCGGCCAGCTCGAAGCACCTGGTGGGGGTTCCTTGGGACTCTCCTGCTGCAGGCGTGGGCTCGCACCGAGCGGCGACGGTGCTTGTCTTGGCGAAGAAAATGTGTCGCCTTCGTCGAACTTTGGAAACTGGTATGAGGGACTGAGAGGTGAGCCTTCATCACGCAGCGGGGGTGCGGGAACGTTAAGCCGCGGGGGCGCTGCTCGGCGATTCGCTGGCGAAAGACCGTAACTGCGATCCGCGTCGATGACTGGCGACGGCTGAGGGCGGCGTGGGGGCAAGTTGAAATCCTGTGGTCCTTTGGAGGGGTGATCTGGCTCAACGGGAGACCGCAGCGGCAGCCCGGTTCTGGCGACGGGAGGTGGCGCGATGCGCGGGGCAGGCTCGTGTGGTCGCGGTCGGGCATTAGGCATCCGTTGCGCAGGTGGTGGCCAGGGTCGTGGGGGGCCTCGCATTTGTGGCGGTGGTCCTCTCGGAGGCCCATGAGGTTGTTGTGTGCCTCGTACATCGACCGGTGGTGGCGGTTCGCCTGGCGCTCCTCGGCGGCGGTCCTAGATCGAAGTTGGTGACCTCAGTCGGGCTTACATTGGCGCCGGACTTGGTTCCTTTTTGTCGAGCCCAAAGTCGAAACCAAAATCAATTCGACTCAGCTCCTCAATATCCATGGATACGCTCTGACGACGTGTAGGGTGGTGCGTGAGCGTATCTCGCTTTGCAGTCACATCACGAATTACAGGTCGATCCCAAGAGCCCATTTCTTGATCTTCATGCGAAGATGCTGGGGAAGGGAGTGAGTCGATATTCTGCGGGCGGCGGGGTATTTTTCCGGCTGTGCTGAACCCCGGTGGCGGAATAACGTTCCCTCTTCTAGTGCTGGGGTTGTCACGGGCGTGCCAGGGTTTCTCCGTGCTATTCAGAGACGGTGGCGGCGACGGATATGACCTCGGCGGTGAGTGTGATTTTGTTAATTTGAGAGTTCTGTTCTCATCTACAGCCGATGCCGGTTGCAACTGCATCGGGCTCGTTTCTGCTCGTCTCAGTGGTTTAACGGGCTGCAGTGTTGCTGGGCTCGATACGTCGAGTGGAGACAGGTTGAATTCGAACTGTCCAAGAGGGCTCCTGGGGATTTGCGGTGCGGTCGAGGCAACAATCGGCGTCGATGCTTTGGCACCAGACGAAGTAGACGGCCGTTGTTGCTGTTGGGTCCTCGAAGGCGTCGAACCTGACGAGCCGTCGCGGCAGAAATGGACATCAAGGGGGTTGACCCAACCGGTGCCGCGGTTTGAGCCGGCAGTCCCTGGCCGGCCGTTGGCTGCTGCCGGCGTCATTGGCGGTGGTACTAGGCTCGTGGAACTCGCATTGTTCCAGCGTGTGCGCAGATTCGTTTCTGAACCGTAGTGACGAACGCCGGAGCCGATGCTCGATTGCTGGGTCGCATGGAAGCTAGCGCCGGCCCCAGCAGCCAGGTCAACCATGCTTCCGCTGCCGTGCATGTAGGGGAGCTTCGGACGGGGTAACGACCGGTTGGAAGAGGCTGTACCCGGGCGTGGAATGGGCGTGCTCGCGTCCAGGTGTAGGAGGTCCTGCTTGTTAAGAGTGGTGCCGAAAAAGTCGCTGTCGCCATCCTTCGGCTGAGGCCCTTCAAGGTTAGCTGACTTGTCATTTTTCCTGGCAGTGACAACGTCAGTAGCTATTCAATTCGGTCGCGCAAGGAGGGCGTACTTCTTCTTGTCCCCTCCGAGCTTTAGCCCGAAGAAGGACACCATGATGACGGTGACGGTGTGTCAAACAGTGGAAAATCGGTGGCGAAGGTAGCTGGAAAAAGCGAGAGGAGTAGTGAAAAAGACTGGCTTGAGCGCAGGCGCGACTGCACTTCTTTTCTCTCTGTGCTGTCCAAATGGTCACGTATCGTACGGTATCGCGCAACGATCGGCGAACAAGTAAAAAAAAAATAAACGTCAGACGGTTCGTGTAAGACAGGCGACAGGCTAAGGCTGGCGGCAGGAGAGCAAAGCTTCAATCAAGGATAACAATCAAGGTCTCAGGGTGCGACGGCCATGTCTCGGTCACGAGAAGAAAAAGAATGCCCAGGGAGGGTCGACAAAGATGTGGTTGAAGCTGGCAGAATTCCTGCCGTTCGGCCGAATAGTTGAAGTAGTTCCTGTTCCTCGGTGGATGAGCAAGTGCTGGCGCGCGCACAGTAGCTCAGGGGCTGGTTCCTCAAGGTCAGGGAAAAGAAGGCTCAGCGAGCTCGTGCAGGTTGCGGTGCACAGCCTGTATGTGCAGTTGGGTCCGAGTGACGCCCAGTCGAGTCTGACCGACGATAGTGGGGTGTGCGCGGGGCGACAAAAGCAAGGGCGAGGGCCTGCGGATGTGAGAGAAGGGGAGACTGCTTCCTGGATCTCCTCTCTCAGGCTGGCGTGAGACTCGTCGATATAGAGAGGAGAGAGAAAGAGAGAGAGAGAGAGAGTGTGTGTGTGGACGCAGCATTGGTCGTTGTCCCCCAGGAGTAGCGACGACGAGAATCCAGGGGGCGCGAGTCGGGTTGATGAGGGGGCGAGGGCGTCGTAGGAAAGGGAACGGCAGCCGAGGGCGCAGCTTTGATGGACGCCTCCATGCAGGTACCAAAAGGGCTTTAACTTTTGGCGATGACTGAATGGCCGACCCAGAAACAGACGAACAAACATGGGACACGGGCCCTAAGATGCAGCCAGACGCACCGGCCATTCATCCATCCACCTACCTACATCATGCAGGAACAGAACATGTTGCTCTTTTGCCCGTCCAGGAAGGGAAAAGGGTGGAGATGAGGAGACGAGGAAATGAGATCCCAACGCGCCGGGGCGCTCAAAGGGAACAACGACACCCCGGGGCCAATGGGATACCTGCCTATGGGTACTGGGACGTGGGATATGGGCCATGGATGGAAGGCGACCCTCCTTCACCGGAACCTCAAATCACCAGCAGGCGCTGGCACACATACACAAGCCCTTCACTGGCATTCGACGCAATCTCGCCTGTCTGCGCGGGGGCGACGCGTGTTGAGCATGGGCGTATGAGCATGACGAACTTTGAATAACAGTGACACCGCAGACACCGATGCCTCATGGACGGACAGGCCAAGGGGTCAGGTCCGCTTGGACTACATTGCGGTATCGGGTCTGCGCTGGTGTAACAGACGACTGTCATGTCCGCCCCGAATGACGAGATGATCGACCAGCTACCGCAAGACCAAAGGCGGATGAACGGGCATTTACAGTTGCAGTGCACTGTGAATTCAGGCGGGCTTGGATTTGTGGGTGTGGGAGCCGGCGTGGTGAAGGGGAGACGAAGGAACAGCGAGGTCAGGTACCCGAGTAAGTCTGGTCAGTACCCAAGCAGGTCAGATCCGTCTCAGGTGCCGCGCGGGTGCTGCCGGCCACCAGTCCGAATAGGTAGGGGGGCGGTCCGCACACGTTGTGTGCTTGTCGTCCTCATCTCGTCACGATGGACGACCATGTTTCCCCGCCCCCCCTTTCTTGCCTTGGTTGCTGACTCCCGAACGGTCTGTCAGGCCTGCAGGCCAAGCTCCAGGGACGCGGCATGACATCCGAACTCGCGCGCCCGTGCTCGGCTGCCAGAAACCCCGAACCAGCAGAAACAAAACCAGCAGGGCTGACATATGACGTGGGGGGACCATCATCTACGTAGCAGAAACAGGTCAATGAGGGTCCTCCAACGTCCAAACGGTGTTTCATCGTCCTTCAGATCCGTCCGGGTGGGTTGGGATGCGTAGGGCTCATCCCGTCGATCTCAATGAGGCGGACACACTGAGCAACACTGGGGCCACCCTGACATGACACGTCGACACCGAATCATGCATCCCGGACCATCCGTCTTCGTGTTCTGCCGCGAGACGGTTGGCATCAGGGCCTTGACATTTGTTATCTACGCCCCGTCAATCCTTTTTCGTTTGTTTATTTTTCCTCTTGCAGACTTTCCAGCTGCAGCGCTCCTTTGTCTTTGACTCGTACCACGCGAAGCAAATCCCAGCTGTAGCGCAGTCAATAGCGTCTGCGCTTGTGGCCCGGCGGGAACTGGTCCCCGGGCGACGGAGCTTTGCCATGTGCTGCTGCTGCGGTCGCGGGAGATGCGAGACGGAACCCACACCCATGTCTGATGCTCAGCAACATACTTGTAAGCCAAAATGGTACCAGTGTAAGGTTTGATTCTCCGCTCCATGTGAACCGTGCAGAGAAAGAGTAGAAAAGAAAGGAACCCAATGCCTGAATGCTTGCTGCCCAGGACCCCCCCCCCCCTCCTCCCAGATTAGAATTCCAAAGCGATGCCATGCGCCCACCCCAAGAACATGATGACACGAGACCAGATATAAAAACATGGCTGCGACCTAGATGACAGAACATACAACTTAACGGCCAGCGCTATGGCCAAATTTAAAGTCAAAACCCCCCCAAAACAGAAAAAAAAAGAACAAAGTCAAAATCAACACTCTCCCTTCCAGTTCTCGCCGATCCACTTGGCCATCTTGAACGTCAGCGTCTCGTCGTCCCACTTGTCCACGTCGCGGTCGCTGTACTCGCCGCCGCTGAACTTGAGCGCCATGATGACCCACTGCTGGATGAAGTCGAGGAAGACAACGTCGACCGTCTCAGGCTCGCTAGCGTCCGCGGGGAAGCCGACCTCGGCCTGCACGCAGTTGGGCTGCGCGTAGAATTTGAGGGGCGTGTGCTCCGTGTCGTCGCCGTCGGAACCGAGGCCGTCCTTCGTCGTGTAACCGCCAATGAGGGCTGGACGGTCGCTCAACGGCTGCTGCTGACCGTCGCTGCCTCGCAAGTCAGACTGGGGTGAGAATGGCGCGTCGTTGTCGACGGAGAGGTCCTTAGCAGCCATGGCCTCGGGCAGGTTCAGCAAGCGCGTGTCGAGGGCGGCCTCGAAGATGTGGTCGCCCGTGTTGAGGAGGGTGATGACCTTGCGGGCGACGGCGTAGGGCACATTCCGGACGAGGCGGAACTTGCTGATGAACGGCGACACGATGTAAGTGCTGTCCTGTGTGAAGGGGCCCTCGAAGATGTCGAATCGCATGGTGCCCGTGTTGATGATGGCAAGGCGCGGCTTGTCGTCGTGCGGCTTCTTGATCACGTCTGGCAGCACCTCCGTCTCGAGCCATGTGTAGAGGCTGCTGTTGCTCGGGTATTCAGCCCTACTCATCCACAGGTCGCGCGGCGCGCAGCCAAACTGGTGATCGAGCTTGAGGCTCGTGCGCGCACGATCGATCATGCTGCTGACGTGCTTGCCGCGCTTGGTCGGAAAAGTCGTCGAGTTGAGGCCTGTGTGGTGGTGCAAGCCGTAGAGATTGTTGTCGATGTAGCTGCGCGAGTACTTGACAGAAGCGGCGGTTGAGACTGTGTCATCTGCCGCCTTATCCCTCTTCTTGATCTCGTCGACTGAGGCCCAGCCGATGGTTTCCATGTAGCGCCCACTGGCCAAGGCATACGAGTTTGCATCAAAGCGAAGGGCATCACGAACGTGGGCATGCCCACCAAAGAAGAGAATAGGTGTGAACCAGCTCTGTGCACGAATGGCCTTGAAAATGGCCTTGAACTCAGGCATGCGCAGGCCAACATGACCGATGACGACAAAAGCATCCGGCTTCTCTTCGTTGAGGACCTTCTGAAACCAGGCCTCCTTGACCGTATCCTCGACCGGCTGGACTACGGTATTGTTGGCGTTCATGGTAAAGTCAAAGATGAAGCCGAACGCGATGATGTTGAGGCCCTGATTTTTCGTTGTGAACTTGCGGTAGCGCTGAGCCTGCGGCACCTGTGTCCCTGTCTTGTCGTCCAAGTAGTCGAGGTTGGAGGCAATGTAGTTATGCTTGAAGTTGGGCACGGTGATGGCGTGCTCGCGGTCGGCCGTCGGTGCCTGGTAGAGCTCATGGTTACCGGTACACAACAGATCGACCGACTGCTCGCGAAATATGTCGTACGTAAAGAGGCCCTGCGGGCTGGAGGCGTCGTACAGGCCGTTGCCCTCGACGCGGTCACCTGTATCCACGAGTAAAAGGTCAACACCCTTGTCATCGGCCTGTCGACGCATGTGCTCCGCAAAAGAGACATAGTCGCCCCAATCAGCAGAGTACTGTGGTTCTTGGAGATGACCGCCGAGCCAGCCGTGCGTGTCGGTCGTGTGAAGGAAGTTGAGCTTGCCCCAAGTCAGGTCGCGCATGGGGGCAGCGACGGGCTGCACCGCGCCAGGCTGTGCTGCTTGCGCGACGCTGCATAGCGCGCTTAGGAGAACGATTCTAGACAGAGACATGTTGATGTGCGCTGCCTTCGTTATTGATCAGATGGGCGAGAAACCTTGTGGGTGTAGGTGTAGGAGCGAAATTCCTCCTTGGATGGCCTATGTTGCTGGGCGTGACTCCCACGTCACAAGGCAGCGGCAGCTACAGCAGCTCCAGCTACGCCTGCCTCCCTCTTTGCGGTTTGCCTTACCGCAGGTACCGTGAACTGGGAGGAGCTACCCCTGCATAGTGGGGTCCAGCTACAAGGGTTCTCCCCCTCTGCCGAGCCACAGAAATCGCCCCCGTGGTGCGCCACATTAGGAGTTGACTTTGGACACTCTGATGCTCCTGATCTCAACGTTGATGGAGAAAGTCACTTGGCTCGTGGGATCAAGCGGGGTTCGGATACGTCGACGTCAGTTCTGCCCAGTCGGCACATTGGCGCTGCATACCGCCTGTCAGCCATCTCCTCCAGGATGGGCCCTCACTCTGAGGTGAACTAGGGGTACCTACCCAGTTGCCAGAGCACAGTCCTGAATTGCGAGAGGTCGGGATTGTCGCCGACGTCTCTGGACCGACGGCCATGAGTCCGATGCGAGCGCTGCCTGGGCGCGTTATCCTACGTGCCAGCTTCGAAAGAGCTTCGAAGGAGCTCCTCTTCCCGTCATCTATATGATTCAGTCTGAGGCTGTCTCTGCCGGCTCTGTTAACCAAAGATGACACGTAGGAAAGCCGATGCTACCACAAAGCCTTTCGCGATGCCTGGTAACAAACCAACCATCCTCCGACTCGGTGAGAATATCAAGTACAACCCTGACTACTACAGAGACACATTCACGCAACTTTTCGATGTGGTCGCAAACGAAGAGCCGGATCGAGCCTCGTTCATTGCAGCACTCAAGTCAAAGAAGTATGGTAATTTCTCTGCCATATTTCGCCCGCATTTTCAGTCAGGGGGCGAGATGGGACAGTGGGACGATGAGCTGATCTCGTACCTCCCACGATCCGTACGCATCTTCGCCTCCGCTGGGGCGGGCTTCAATTGGGCTGATGTCGACGCCCTCGGCCGCGCAAAAATATGGTACGCCAACCGGTGCCGGCGCTAGCGACGAGGCTGTCTCGGACACGGCCCTATTCTTCATCCTCTCCGTCTTCCGTAATTTCTGGCGTTCGCAGCGCGCGGCGAGAACCTGCGACCCGGAGCAGTTCATGGCCATGCATCGCCTGGTCGGGAGCATATCCTGGAACCCTCGCGACCACGTTCTCGGCATTGTCGGCTTGGGCAACATCAGCAAGAAGGTCGCCCTCAAGGCACGGAAAGCGCTCGGCATGAAGATACACTACTTTGACGTCTGCCGCTCGCCACCAGAGGTCGAGCAGGAGCTGCAGGCGACCTATCACTCTACCCTCCATGAGCTCCTTCGCGTGTCGGATTGTGTCACGCTTCACGTCCCATTGAACGCGCATACCCGGGATCTTATCGATGGCGATGCCATTGCGGCTATGAAGGATGGCGCGAGGCTCATCAACACGGCGCGGGGTGAGGTCGTCCATGAGCAGGCTCTGATAGCGGCTTTGAAGAGCGGCAAGTTGTCGGCGGCGGCGCTCGACGTGCACTACCACGAGCCGCAGGTTTCTCCGGTGCTTGCTGAGATGGAGAATGTTACGCTGACATGCCACAACGGCGGTGCAGCAATAACAACCCGACTGAATTTTGAGCTGGGGGCGATGAAGAACATTGTCGAGGTGGTTGGCACTGACGGGGAATTCATTGGCGAACCGTTGACGCCGGTAAATAGGAAAGCTTTCGAGGCTTCTTGAGGAAAGTCATACAGCAAAGATATAATAGAAAGCCTATCTCATTGTTAGCTACAACCACACTTTCCCCGCCCGACATATGCGCACCATTTCATTGATGGCAGGTCTAACATGATCCCCAAATATGATAATCTTTCGCAGACGGAAATTGAAAGTACAAGCATTGCCGTTCTCGAGGCTCTCAAGAAGAATGTGGTCACTTATTTGTACAGCTACGCCCGTTCGGTGTGATTTGGTACGAGGGCTATGATAACTCGAGGGTTAGAGGTTCCTGCCCAATATTTGAAGGGATGTGTACTGTGTTTGCGTGGAAATACCATCTGTATACTTGGCATAGTGATATTTTTGGGTAGTATAGCTTATGAGGCGGAAAAAGGAGCATCGGTGTTGTCGCCGATGGCATGCATATTCACACACCTGCCCGGGCTGCTGGTTGACTACAACGGCATTGTCACCGACCAACTTTGCAAGTCTCTCCGCACCTAGCAAGAGCAGGCCACTTATTCACACTATGCACAGCATTTGGTGATCGTCTTGATGTACATCGGCAACCCGTGACCGTGGTCTACACATGGAACCCTGACGTGTGGTTCGCAGCTGCGTTGCCACGGTCCAAAGCTGATCATACCCCGGATTTACTCCGCAATCCCTATGCCGAAAATGTCCCAAGGCATCTCGTCTGACCTCAGGTATATATACATGATCCCATATCAGTCTCTGTAGCTTTGTCGAGACGGCGAGTCGTCACAAGTGTTTTGGTCACAAGTACACCATATAATCTTGCGAAAATGCGTATGTTCAAAGCCGACTTTTTCAGGCCCAAGGCGGCAAGAACTATGCATTTCTCGCACTTAAGCAACAACACCAACCCGACATGGTGGAAAGATGCCGGCCTTCGCAAAAACGTATATCATTGCGTTGGTCTCTACTTTTGTGTCTTCTACTTGGGTTATGATGCCTCACTCATGAACGGACTCCAAGCCATACCAGAGTGGGAGGAATACTTCAACAACCCTTCAGGAAGCGTCCTGGGCTTCATATCCGCCAGTCTCTTCCTCCCAGCCATTGTGACGCCCTTTGCGGCTTCCTGGATCAACGGGCTCTGGGGCCGCAAAGTCTGCCTCGGTGTCGGATCAGTGCTCTTGATCCTCGGCGCTTTCCTCACGCGTTCGCCACGAACATGGGGACATTCATCGGCGGGCGTGTCATCATCGGTGGCCGCCGGGCCCTTCGGCAAGATCACCGGCATCGCCATGCTGCAAGAGCTGGCGCACCCACGGCTACGCCCGTACGTTGCCACTGCGTACTACAGCAACTACTACCTTGGCCAGATAAGCGCCGCTTGGTTCTGTTTCGGGACCTTGTCCTGGCGGTCTACAGAGTGGAGGTGGCGCGCACCATGCCTCTTCCAGGCCTTCGCGCCGTTCCTGGTACTTGTCCATTTGTTCTTCATGCCAGAGAGCCCTCGATGGCTGATTGATAACGACCGGTCGGAAGAAGCCCTGAAGATCCTCGCTCAGGGGCACGCCAACGGCGACATCAACGATGAGCTTGTCAGATACGAGTACGAAGAAATTTGCCAGGCCATCCAGTCCGAGAAAGAAAACCAGAAGAGCAAGTACTCGGACTTCTTCAAGACACCGGGCAACAGACGTCGCCTTCTCGTGCTGGTGACAATGGGCACAGGCTCCAACTGGGTCGGCAACGGCATCATCGCATATTACCTGTCTCCGGCGTTGAAGCTCGTTGGCATCAACAAGGCAGACCAAATTGCGGGGATCAACGGCGGCCTGGCTGTCTGGTCGCTGCTATGGGCATATCTCGGAGCCCTGAACGCCGAGCGCGTCGGTCGGCGGCCGCTATGGCTCGTGGGCACAGCTGGCATGTTGTGCACCTACATCCTGATCACGGGGCTCAGCGGGTCTTTCGATCATAGCCCGACCCGCTCCGTTGGCATCGCCGTGGTGCCAATGATGTTCATGTACAAGACGTTTTACTGCATGAGCTGGTCACCGTTGCCGTTTGCCTACGGTGCGGAGATTCTGCCCTACCATATGCGACTCAAGGGTCTGAGTATTGAGCTCAGCGTTCAGAGCGTGGCCCTGACATTCAACCAATGGGTCAATCCCGTGGCGTTGGAGGCCATGAAGTGGAAATAGTATGTTGTGAGGCGGAGTGACTATCGCAAGAGAGAAGCGGACTAACTCCAGACAGCTACATTGTGTACATTGCCTTGATCGCGATGTACCTCGTCCTCATCATCTTCTTCTTCCCGGAAACGAGGTAGGACCTGTGCTCACGACTCGTTGGGGCACGCCAATCTGACAGTTGACCGTACAGGAACATGACGATCGAAGCAGTCTCGATCTTGTTTGACACAGGCAGGAAAGGCGACGCGCTGGCAGCATCTCGGCAGTTTGTGCACGGCAAGGAACAGCCAGAAGAGGGGCATGTTGATCACGTTGATGACGCTGGGAGACAGCCGAACGACAGGGCGCAGATCAAGGTCGTTTGAGGAAGAAGGGAATGGCGTGGAACTAGGGGGGGAATTGACACTCTATCGGACTCCATCCTGCACTGCCAGTGACACTTGAAGAGGCGACGGGTTGTGGTACTTGCATTCTCTATGGTGTGTATGTTTGGAGCCATGCTTCCCAAGTCATTTATAGGTCATGAGAAAACTGTAGCTGGTGCCATGGATCCAGAAAGATTGCACTCGTCTGCCATTGCTCTGAAGCTTACAAGTTCATAATGGCCGTGGATTGTCATTCATCAATTCAATGCTTTGTGCAGGAATGGAGTGCGAGTTGGTCATGCTTGAGGTGTTGATGGAAGAGGTTGGTGCATGGACGGTGGACAGGTGTTATCGATAAAGCACTTCTGCGTCCGACAGCTCTGTAGCGCAACCACGAACCAGACTTGCCATGAGCATCATTATCGATGGCGACACCATTGAGACGGCCACATGTCTCCTCATGCCAAACTCTCGCGGATACGGCCACGGTCGGTGATCGCTCTCACCGGCCGAGCTGCAGGTCTAACTAGAGGCGTTGGCCGGCGCCATCACCATGACCTGAACCACTTCATTGCCCGAGGTCAGCTGCACCCCATTGCACCTCGCTGAGCTTCACTGACGACCGAACCATCGAACCAGCTGACCAGCAGTCCGAACCATTGGCACACGGCAAAGGACCGGCTCCCTTCAAGTTAGCAGTCAAAGACAATATCGCGACGAAAGACCTCCCGACGACATGCGCCTCCGCCATCCTCGCAGAACACGCCAGCCCTTTCGAGGCGACCATCGTGCGCCAGCTCCGCGAGCGCGGCGCCGTGGTCGTCGGCAAAACCAACATGGATGAGTTTGGAATGGGATCCCACTCTGTTCACTCGTCACGCGGTCCCGTCCGGAACCCCCTCGCTCCAACACCAACCTCTGCTGGCGGCAGTTCCGGAGGCAGCGCCGTTCGCGTTCCGCGTCTGAGACGCAGCCGTCGCGATTGGCACAGATACAGGCGGCTCCATCCGCCTGCCGGCTGCGTACTGCGGCGTCGTTGGCTACAAGCCCTCGTACGGTATGTTGTCCAGGTTCGGCGTCGTCCCGTACGCGAACTCTCTCGACACGGTCGGCCTGTTGGCGAGCAGCGTTGTCGCCCTCGAGAAGCTCGTCTTCGAGACGGGCCTGGATCTGGAGCATGACCCGAACGACCCTACGTCTCTGTCGAGCGAGTTCCGCCAGAGCCAGGCGCAGCAAGCGCCCGAGCAGCGGCGCCTCAAAGTCGGCCTGCCGCTCGAATACAACATTGAGGAGCTCGACCCCCAGATCCATGCCGCGTGGGTCAAAACCGCCGAGACGCTGCAGGAGCTGGGCGTCGATGTCGTGCCTGTCTCGCTGCCATCTACGAGACACGCTCTCTCCGCGTACTATGTCATCGCCCCAGCCGAGGCGTCTTCGAACCTGGCCAAGTATGACGGTGTCCGCTACGGCAAGCGCGGCGAGGGGAGCGACGCGACGGGCCAAGTCCTCTACTCGGAGACGCGAGGCAATGGTTTTGGGGATGAGGTCAAGAGGCGCATCCTGCTTGGTTCTTACAGTCTGAGTTCGGAGGCTATGGACAACTACTTTATACAGTCGCAAAAAGTGCGCAAGCTCGTGCAGCGGGACTTTGACCGCGTGTTCCGCCTCGAAAACCCCCTCTATGACGAGCAGCAATTCGACCTGAGCGACATGACGGGTGACGTCGAGCTGGAGAACAAGCTTGGCCCCCAGCAGGTTGACTTTCTCCTGTGTCCCACGGCGCCCTCTTTTCCTCCGAGGATCGAAGATGTCGAGAAGCAGACCCCTGTTCAGTCGTACACAAACGACGTGTTCACTGTCCCGGCCAGTCTGGCTGGGCTTCCTGCCATCAGCATCCCGGTTCCGATTCAGTTTCCGTCTCCCGAGGCCGACGACAGCCGAAAGGTGGCTGGGTTGCAGATCATCGGGCAGTACTGGGATGACAAACGCGTGCTGCAGATAGCAAGGCGTCTTGCGGAGAAGCTCGCGGCGTAAGACATTGTGGCAGAGTTTGCCAGCTGGACTGACATTGAGCCAGGCGGGGGCTGAGGCTGTAACATTATGTAAGGTAGTAGACAATACCCCTGGACGATTGGTAGGCATGGAGCTTGGGAACTCGCGTGCTCCTCGGTGATCGGTGATCGGTGATGTGAGAGTTGTGCATGATCCAGTGCGATTGACGTTGCCGCAATTCAGGGCGTTCGCTCCCGACTCCTTGATCGACTTCGCGATGGGCTCCTGTCGACGTCCATTCTGCCGCCGTTCTGTGGCCTCTCGACAATCTCGCCGTCTGACTCATCATCTGCCCTGCTACCTGGCGTCTCATCCTGCTGCTGCTGCTGCTGCTGCTCTTGCTGCTGTTCCTCGTCGTCGGCATCGAGGAGTTCGTCAATATCGCCCAGAGGACTCTCCCTCTCTTCCAACTCTCCAAGGTCCACGAGGTCTGTCCTCCTCGGCAGCTCCCTGAAACTCGTCGCGCACACTCTCGTCTTTGTCAACAGGTCGTCCACAAACTCATCCACAAACGTCAAGCTCGTGCCTTGTCGCCCCTTCCGCCGCAGCTTCCGCCGGTCGACGAGGTACCTCTCGAGAATGGCATACACGTCCTTGGCGCGTCTCGTCATGCGAATGTAGAAGCAGGCGAGCGCGCGCAGATACTTGAACTTGTCGCCGCCAAAGCTCAGGTACATCTCGAGGACGGCGTCGCTCGGCGCGAGCTGCAGCAGCTTGAAGGCGAGGCAGAGGAAGGGCGTGGGCTTCTGCGCGGAGCCGTACGTGCCGCCGATGAACTTGACGTCGTTGACGACGCGGTCGACGATGCCGGCCTCGTTGAGGGCGAAGCACTGGTACTGGAAGTACTGCGCGTCGACGATGCGCCCAATGACGGCCTTCTCCATGATCTTGGCCGGGTTCTCGCCATTGGGGGCCAGGGCGGCTGCCGTGCCGCGGTCGTCGAGGAAGCGCCGCTCGTTGGCGTAGATGGTCTTTGTGTCGGGTTTGCCCATGGTTGGATGTGACGGGCGCGTGGCCTGCGCTTCGCTCGTGGTGAGTTGTTTCGCAAGATGGTAATGGATGACGGGACGTTGTTCGTGATCGGCAGGATTTGAGTGGTGGGGCTGATGGTCGCCGTAAGGTGGTCGTGGTGAACATGGGTTTCGTGCTGAACTGGAAGTGGG